AACAGGCAGGTTTTTAAGCAGCATTGATTTAATGCTTTATGGTTCACATAGTGCTTACACGTACATTGAGACACAGGCTTTCCCTCTTCTGATGGGCAGGCAGGTTTTTAAGCAGCATTGATTTCATGCTTTATGGTTCACATAGTGCTTACACGTACATTACTGCACCTAACAATTTTGTAAACTGGCCAGCCTCATGCCCTCACTAGAGATGAAGGTGCCATGGTTCAGGAAGAGCAAGTTACTTGCTCGTGGTTAAATAGTGAGCTGCAAAAATAAGGCATAAATCCTGGACCTTTTGAATCTACGTTCACCCTGCCTGCTCTTCTGTGACCACTACACCATACTGACTCTTGAGTGGGTAGATGCAAAATACTGCACGCACCAGAGGCAGGCAAAGCATCACACACAGAAGTGTGGCTGAATCTCCAGCCACAGCTAGCCAGTCTGGTCAGGGTCTTCTCAGAAGCTACGGCAGCATCTAAACCAAGGAGGGGGATGGACGCCCTCCTCATTCCACAAGAAATGACTCATCAGCAGCGATGGACCCTCTCTCACTGAGATAGAGATGGGTCCTTCAAGCTGATCCACTCCCCATCCTCTTCCACAGTCTTAGGAATCAGTGTTTATACCACCCGGTTTGGCCACTGACCCCTAGGGTCGCATCTAAATTTTTAAACATAATTTCGAATCATAAAACATTGAGGGTTTAAAATTTTTTTAGATTAAAAAGTAAAAACAACTCAAAACCACCCCCGTCTCCCTTTCTGCCTTGTCCTCATCTTCATCCCCTACCACCCATTTCTGTTTATCCCTCTAGAATTTATTTATACAAATAGAAGTAAATGTGAATATGTATTTTATCCGCTCACACATATTTTTTCCACAGGAAATACACCATCGTGTTGTTATGCAGTTTCGGGGAATGAATCCCTTCTCTCTACCGCCACTGCCAGCAAGCTCAAGGCCAGAGGCAAGCGATCAATAAGCACTTGTTGGAGAGGAAAGGCCAGCCCGAACGGACAAATCAATCTTGGGGGACAGTCCAGGGTATGTAAGGCAAATCCTGCTGACGTCTGTGCACAAGTGTCAGTGGCAAAGCAGTCTCCTGGTGAGGCACAGAGCTAAAGTTCAGACAATTCCAGGAGTGGTAATAGCCTCATCCTTGACCACTTCCATGGCAGGCAACACCGGCACCTGTCTTCTGGGTCGCCAAAGAAAGAACACCCACGGAACAAAGGGTGTGGAGGATGTCGTTGAATTGTTTAAAAAAAAAAAAAAATGTTTATAGATATCTTAAACACAAAGAAATGGAAGAAGCTCCCTTTTCAACTGCCCCAGCATCACATGGCTTTGCAAATCACCCTAAAATGACTGGAGATTATTCTGCCACATCTGGACCATGACCTGAAGGGGCTTCTGGGAAAGTGCTTGTGAATGGGCCTGGCCCCCAAGAAAGGTTGCTCTGGGCCAGAGGCTGAGGAACGCCTTCTTCAGGACCAGAACTAGCTCTTGTTCGAAGAGGGTGCAAAATCACTGACAGGGAAGGGGGTGTGCACACTGCCAGGAAAGAGGACTAATATTTTTGGGAAGTTTTAATTTGCTTCAATTAAAAATTCAGGCCAGCAAAACAGAAGTAGGTGAACTTCTTTTCCGAACCTCTGCACAGCCCTTTCTGGGCCCCTCCACCCCTTTGCAAGCTTGTCACCAAGGGGCCTCTACCCCAGCCAGCATTTCCCAGCTGGGTAGTTCCAAGAGTCACACCGTTTCCTCCCCAATCTCCCACCAGATCAGCCCAGGGCCCTGGTGGGGAGAGGAGAGAAAAACCATCAGGCTCCAAGAGACAGGAGAAGCCCCGTGTCTGGGGCCTCGGCACCAGCCTTCCAGGTCAGGGTCACGTGTGTACACGGAGGGCTCTTTTCTTAAGCTAATTGGCTCTGTGTCTTGTGATCAAAGGAGCGTAAGAAACACCAGGGAAGATGAGCTGCTTTAAACAATGTCTGGAACATAGTAAGGGCTCACTAAGCCCTCGCTGTTAGATTATCGCCTTCGCCATTGTTTAGACGTGTTCCTCTATAAATCTTCAAGGGAGTATAAATACGAGCCCCACCAGCCCCTCCCCAGTCCTGACCTAGAGAAGGGAGCTGCTTTCATGGGGGTAGTTTATGAGCCCCTGGGGAACCCCTGCTGCCCTGGCATATGCATTAATGGGCTCTGTGGCAGGACCTGCATCCTACTAAGCTCTACTGAGTGAAGGTACAAACAAATCAATCCATTCAGTGTATTTATGAATGAACATGTAATGCACACATTTCAGGACAGGAATAATGCTGACCCACACGGGGCTCGGAAAAGGCAGAGCTGGTAAGTGTGGGCCGTCGACACCCTTGCAGCTTTCCCCTTCCTGGAGCCGGCAGTCCTCTCCATCCTCAGAATCCAGGGGCTTTGCTATTGAACTTTCAGTCCTTCATGAGTAGGGCCTGAGGCTGAGCGACTGTCCTCCAGGGGGTTGATTCTACCTTCCCAGGCCCCAGGGCTTTGCAGAGGACTGGCTGGGTCAAGGTTGGAACTGGGCCCCAGGGGGATTTAAGTCTCTCCAGCCTTCTACAACCACCTCCCCGTTGCCCCACCCCACCCACCACCCAGGGAGGCCCCATCTTAGACTTCCCCAAAATGAAGCTTTACAGTGAGGCCTAAGCTATCAGAACACAAGTATCTCCCAGGAACCCTAAGTCAAAGGCCCCCTGTGGAGGGAGGAGTAACCCCAGATCTCTGCGGAAGGACCACCGCCCTCGCCCTCTAGGTCTACATCTTCCAAACCCTTCGATGTTGACCTTTCCAAAGGGAACAGGAAACATAGCAGTCTCCCAAATTCGAGTATGCAAAAATGTAACTTTTTCTCTATAGCTCAACTTCATCCTTATAATGAGTCCCCATTTTCAACCAACAGAAAAGTTAACCTGTAGCATTCAAGTAAACTCAGCCCAATTAGTGACTTAAACTCAATCAGTTCAAGTCTAATTGAGCCGCATCCCTGTTTGTGGGCTGGGCCCACTCCCATCCTCCTGCAGTGACCCCAGCACACTCTCCAGCAGGCTCTCAGCTGACTTCCAGGGCCCACAAGATCCTCTGGGCTGCCTCCTTTCTCCAGGCAAGAGAAATCTAGACAACTGTCACCAGCCCTATCCCGCCAGGTCCTTCCAAACTGCCATCTCCATCTGCTCCGGTAGCATGGGGAGCATCTGACAGGTCACTATCCTCCCTAACTACGAACCGCAAGGCACAAGAAGAGCCCACCCGTGTCAAGGGAATTGCTCCTACACTGCTTCCTCCCCTCTCCCCACTCCAGAGCTCTTCCCTCTTTATGGTCCCTTTCCAATCTCTTACAGTTTAGCTCTTTCAATTGAAACCTAAAGATCTGGCATCTCTGTTCTCTCCAGTTCAGGTTGGGAGGGATGAAAATCACCCACAAATTAATATTTCACCTAACATCTCACCACACTCTGGAGGAAAGAGAAGCTTCAGATATAGTGCATCCGAGCCTGCCTGTCCTGGACAAGCCTAGGGTTATTCAGGAGGACCCCAACCCAGAGCAGGGTAGACAGCGACCCCTCTCCGTAACAGGGCCTGGGCACACAGGCCCATCCTTTGCAGGGAAGGGGGAAGCAGTCCAGCCCCATAGTTTGCTGACAGCCCAGGCTCTGAAGTCATACAAACCTAGACTCATCATTTACTGACATGACCTTGAGCAAGTCATTTAACTCCTCTAAGTCTCTTTCCTCACCTGTAACAAGATGCCACCCACTGCCAAGGACCCCTGTGAGGAGCAGATCTTTAAGCACTTAGCTCATTGCCTGGCATGTAAATGCTCCCTAAATGAGATGCATCCATTAGTACTCAACACCGCCCCCGCCCCCGAGACACACACACACACACACACGCACGCGCACATGCACACGCACCCATGCACGCACGCAGTCAGCCAGAGCCTAGCTTTTGGGCTCAAGGGCAGCTTGACTTGCGTCCCTAACAGTCCCTCCCCAAGCCCTCCTATCAGGGCCTCTACGCACTGTGCACTGTGTAGGCACCACGACTCCCACTTGGGTGCAAGAAGCAGATCCCTGCTCAGGCTGGCTCGTCACAACCGGGCTGATGCACTTATGACCCTTTCAGCAGCTCATATTTGGCTCAAATTAGCTTAAGCCAAAAATTAACAAGAAGGGGTTTCCTTCAGCTCACATGACCTATAATTCCAGGGGTTATCTGCCTCCAGGCACAATTAGACCAGGGACTCTGGACACTGCCAGGACATGTCCCTGCTCGTTCCACCTCTCAGCTCTGTCTTCCCCTCTCTGCATGCTGCCAGCTCAGGAAAGCTCTCCCCTCAGGGCCAGCGGCTGCAGGCTGATCCTCTCAGCAACCCTCATGGGGGAAACTTGCCTCTTCCTTAGTCGCTCCAGCAAAAGGCCAGGACTGGGCCTTGGTGGCCAAACGGGCCACGTGAGCATTCCCAAACCAATCCCCCTGGCCACAGAAAGAGGTAAAGGAGTGGGGTGGGCGCAGCCAGGCCCCTGAGCTGAGTGAGGCAGCACTGAGGGAAGGCAAAGGTGAAAACCACTGGATGTCAGTCCCAGCTCCACACACCCTCTTCCCAGTTCCTGTCATAGCGGCCCCTGCTGCCAATGGCCTCAGGGCCTCATTAGTTGCCAAATGAAATTTAAGAGTGAGAATCTAACTGGCCCAGCTATTTGTTTTGCAGTGATTTCCATGCTGGGCCACATGACAGGAGCCGTTGTCTGCGAACTGGTGCCCATGGGTCAGGAGTCCTACTTGATCTCATCATTGGGTGTGGAAGTGGGTTGGTGACTGGGTTTCACAGTACAAACAAGGCTGCCTGAGGTGCCCACTGGGGAAGAGCTACAGGCGGGGCAATTTCTGTTAAAAGAGACAGAAGAACCACAGGCCTTACAAGTGACACATCTAAGGACATCCAGGACATCTAGAATGAAAACGGCTTTATTGATACCTGAGAAAAAGTGCAGCACAAACAGTCCTACTGACCACTTAGCCTGTCCCCTCGGGCCAGATCATCCGGAGGCCCAGCCACTTCTCTCACCCGTCCTTGGAGCTGTGGGTCCTATTGGGCCTCTCTGGCCAGGGCTCAAAGGCCGGGGAAGTCCACAGCCGGAGTCTGGAGAGAGAACATCTGCAACCACGGCTCCTGAGGCCAGGGAAGGCCTTAGCGGTCAAGGTCTAGAGTTTCCTGGGTCATAGTTCGGAGTCCAATGGAAAACAACTGCTCCCAGGGCTCCCGGACCCAGGCCAGCAGGGCCGTCAGCTGCTCCAGACACACAACGCGAAGCGCCCAAAAACTCTCCAGCCGAGACACCTGGCAGAACAAGCAGTGGTCAGGCAAGACTCACAGAGGGCCGCACCAGAGCAGCGGGGAGGGAAGGTCTCGGAAAGGACCCGCGGCCCCTCCCCGGCTCATGGCCTCTTCCCTTCCCCAAGCCTGTGCCACTCCCTGTCAAAGATCCTGACTTTTTAAATAGAACCCAATCAACACTTACTGAAGGGCCCCACAGGCTCTCACATTTACTCTCCTGTTTCTTCAATCTTCCCTGTTTTCCAGAATGGAAGTTCTGGAGTCAATTCCAAGGAATTGCTTGGGGTTCTGTTCTCAGCTCTGCCGCTTGTGACCTGGGCAAGCTGATTAACATCCCCAAACCTGTTTCCTCATCTGTCATAGGACTCATAATAGCACCTCCTCACATGCAGGTTGTAAAAATCAAATGTCTGGCACAAAAGCCAAAGCAAATGCAAACCTGCAGCAGCAGCTTCAGGTGCTTCGCTCAAGGCCTCCCAGCAAGCGCAAGGCTGGGTTCCAAGTCCATGATGTTTTCACCACTTAAAGCTGCATCCACCTCTACTTGCTGCTGTCCAAACCCAGTGAGCCTCCAGTTCCTTGCACCCTACTTCTGTCTGTAGCAAGTTCCATACTGCCACGATTCCTAGCCTTCCTAGACCCATTTCCCCCACTACACACCACTTCCAACCCCATTTCTCTCCCATACACACGCACGCACACACGCACACACCTCATCATAGAAGACCAGCCGCAGGTCCTCTGGGGCCGTGCGATAGAGCAGCACCGAGCTCAGGCTGCTGAGCGGCTGCTGCTCCCTGACACACAGAGAAAGGCCTGGCCCTGAGGGCGGGGCTTTCTCAGAGGCTTCACCAGATGCTGCTGGAAGAGGGGCCTCTGCCTGGGACCCTTTGAGGTCCTCATCTAACAGGTACAGGGTGGACAGAGTCAGCAGAAGGGACACAGGG